AGCAAAAATTAGCAAAAACTCTCTTGAGAGTTTTACCCAAGGCACTGAATCRTTCATATTGCATGCCAAAATGTATTAGGAAGATAATCTGAGACTTCATTTTCTTCTGAAAACCTTTAATAAAATATGTGGATAGAGGCATTTTAGAATGTGCATCCTTTTATTGATGTCTAGATCGTCATTAATGTGGTGTAATGTAATAAAAAGGCCACACATAATGGCTGCAAAATATCAAGACCTTTGGGATAAAGCAATGTCCTGCATGAGGAGCATGTGGAAGTCTGATTCTCAGCATAATCATATTTCCATTTGTTTGTAAAAGTTTGAGAATTGGGGAAAGGAATTTCACTGAGAACACTCTGTAGTGTGGGATTAGATAAATGAGCAAACTCTGAAAATCTTTGGAGTTCAGTATGGATATTATCATTGTCATGGCAGTCAGGAAAGCTACCTGAGGACTGGAAGAAAGCAAATGTCACCCCAGCCTTCAGAAAGGGCAAGAAGGAAAACCAAGGGAACTGCAGGTCCATCAGCCTGTGRTGTGTTGAGCCTGGCAGGGTGCCARGTGCCCACCAAAATGGTTCTATCACTCCCCACCATAACTGCACTGCGTAGAGAAAAACAAAAGGCTCATGAGTTGAGAGAAGGACAAGGAGAGATCACAAACCGATTTCCATCATGAGTAACAGTCAAAACAGATTCAACTTGGGGAAATTAATTGAATTTRTTGCCAGTCAAAATCAGAACAGGATAATGAGAAGTAAAGCACCATCCTCCCACCCCACTYCCTCCTTCCTGAGCTSTACTCCTCTCTGCCAGTGGCACAKGGAGATGGGGAGAGCTGCTGCTCAGGAAGAGCAGTCTTTCCTCTGCTCCAACATTTTCTGCATTCTGCAGTCTTGTTGGATAMAGTTGGAGGGCCTCTGTGGCATATCAGTAAATATTTTATAAGATAGAAGGTTGCACATGTATCTAAGGGAAAGAGCAAGTTTCTCTAAGATGTGTTTTATGAGTAAATTTGGAAATCATGAGTAGACAATATAGTTTAATTGAATTTGTAGAAGAGAAGGTGATTTTTGCATTCAGGTTTTGTTATTTTGCATTAATTTTAATTACACAGGATTTAGATAGGCACTTTTCTAGCCACTGGGTTATTCCAGGAATTTGTTATGCATTAGGGACACCACATTAGGGACAAGGATGAATATATTTGTTTCCTTCTTACCCAGGGCATCCTCAAGAAAACAAAAGCAAATGTAATATGAATGTTGAAAGTAGTAAGCATTCTTTAGCCTTACAATGTTGTATCTATTTAACATCTCATTTATTCCTATGCCACCAAGTAGTTTTGGTCTGCTGTCTATAGAATTGCTATTTGCGCTGTTTATTTATGTGTTCATCAATTGTCTTGCCCCATTTCGTGAGTAATTAAATATTCCTATTTTGGCAAAAAATACCAATACAATAAAAGCCTTAATTGGCTTCCCCTCGGCTACTCATGGCATGATCAGATAGCCCTGTCTCCAGCTGTTAATTGCACTAAACATTGATGTATAGATTCAGCCAACACCATTATGGATTCATTTTCTTTGAGAATACTGATGAAATCAGAGACTATAGAATAGGAATTTTTCAAGACATATATTAACATATTAAAACAGGATTGAGTTGTGAGAGTGATTTAGGTTTTGTGTTTGGGGCAATTTTGTGSAGAAGAATTGTTCACTAAGTATTTAAGAAAAGCAATTCTCCTTTCTTCAATGTTGAGCATCTTATTCTTTCCTTCCTGGGAGGTGCACTGTGGTACATGATAGGGTTTTTTTTTTCTAATTCATTGCACTTTCAATACTGTGGCAGCAGTATTTCAATTAAGGTAAAATGAAGCTCTATTCTAGTAAATGCTTGTGTGGGGGCTTTTAATCACAATTGTCATGGTAAAATAAATGTTTTCAGTGCTGTTGTATCAGAAAAAAACACCCCTCTCAATGCATCCAGCAATCTAGAAGTTGGGAATTAATTACCATTACTCCTTTTTGTTACACAGGTTGATTTCTCCCTTTCAGTTTTGGCTTGATTTTTTCCACCACTCTCTGGTATTTGTTTCTTTGTTTGTTGCTTCTTTTTTTTTTCCTTCTCTTTTAAATCTGATTTTTCATTATCCTATGATCTTTTACTTTCACAAACATATTTTCACTGTTGTTCTCTCTGTCTCTTCATCTGATCCTTTTTGGGCAGATCATYCTATCTGTCTTCTGCATTTTTTTGTCCAGTACTTCCTCATAGAAGATCCATTGACAGCTCAGATTCAAAATAGGTGTAGAAATATATGTATTTTTTCTCCTAAACATTTCCATCCTACTTGCCATCCAAGCTCATATAGCAGTGCTTAGCCAATCTTCCTCCACAATTTTTTGAAAGCCTGTCGCTTTCTCTCTATGCAGACAAATGTCACTTTTCATAAGCTTTTTCACTTTTTACCACTTCTTGCACATCCTCCTTAGCATCCATATTGCCAGTCCCTCCACAACACAGCTGGTAACACGGCTGTTTTCATTGGTCAAACCATAGCTATGTCTTTTAAGCTCATCTTTAGTTTCAAGGTTTTCCACAATATTCTATGTCGCAGTCTATAAATCGCATCAAGTGTTTCTTGATCCCAACCATTTTGCTGTAACAGTATATTAAGGCTACATTTTCTTAATAATTCCATGAACCCCCTGTGCTTGTCATGACTCTGCTAGGCTATAAATTATTGGTCCATTTGGTTCTTTGCCTACATATTCTCTTCTTCCCACACTATATGAAAATTTCATAGCTATTCACATAGAGGAAAAATGAAAATAAATCACTGTTTTAGGGCATGTCCCAGTTAATTGTACTCTTTCATATCTTTCTCCTATCTTTCAGGCAAGGTTTAAACTTTTTTTATCTTATATAGCACACTAGTCTATTTTTAGCCTTAAAAGAATTTATCAATGATCCTAAGGACTGTTGCATGATTTCAAATGGATTTAAGTAAAAATTAACTGTGTGGAGTTCTGTTTTCATAAGCCTTGTTGTGGGAAAGATATTCATAGATACCAGAGAATGGAGTTTGTATTATTTGGTCTTTATATCCTTTAGAACTATTCTTCTTGATGGGGTGTCTTTGTTCAAATCACATTTTCAATTACCTAAGCAATTAATCTACTACTACATCCCTTTGRATGTTTCTTGATTACACAGGCTAATAGATCATATTTTTAAAACAGTTGGTAGGGATGTAAAATTCTCTTTAGAAGTGCTAAGAATGGTCACTACTTTGTAATTGACAAGTCCAGCTCTCTGAATATATTATTTTCRTGCTCGTAAAGGTGCCTTTAGCCATTCTCCTCTTTAGGTAAATGAGCTTATCCATTTGGAATATTTCAAGAGCCTTTTTTGGTGTTTTAAAAACTCTTTTTTTTGGAATTCAAGGTCTCCTGAGAAAGAACATTTTCTGCATTGCAGGGATCCAGTGAGGGGGAATAAAGTGCAGGACATCCAGATTAGCTTTGAAGCATAGTGAAAAAAGACTCCTCTTTGGCTCGCTGCAGATTCAGAAGAAAATACAAAATAAATTCTGATGAAATGCAGAGCATGCTTTTCCAGATTGACATTAACKTAATGTTGTTTCAGAAAACTTCATTGTTACCTATTCGCCAGCAGRTACAATGTCTACAACCTGTTAAAACATGAACTTTAGCTGAGAGAACTCTGGAGGAGCATAGTGGAAACCTGTTAGCTATGCATGTTTATCCTTACTCCAAGAAAGATCTCAAGAGTTGCATTTCCAAAAGTATTATGGGATACACTGTGCCAGAAAGGAATAAAGCAGCTGACAGCCATTTCAGTGCAGTATAAGAAAGCATCCTCTAAGGAGTGCTGTGCCCTTCAGCTGCTGAGATGGCACCATGAGACTGCTTTGCCACACCTGAAACCCCATAATTTACACATTGGTAGCTCATAGGTTGCATCCAGACTTTTGCTAATGTTGAGGACTGAAATGAGGGCATCTGGCCTCAAGCAGAGTGGTTATTATATCACTTGAGATTAAGATTTCCATTTTCARCTTCTTGTGATCTATATTCTACAGCATTGTGAGTCACTTTAGGGACAAATAACTGCAATCAAGAATTGAGCGTTACACTGTTATTGTTGTGTGCAAGTTTTGACTATACCAGTTYCTTTAATGGTAGGAGTTTGCAGGGATATTTGAACACTGCTTAGTACAGTGAAAAATTATTGAGAAATAAATCAAGCCATGCATTAGCAGAATAAGATTTTTTTTTTTTTAGTGAGTAGGAAGCCAGCAAATAGTAAATACAAACCCCACAGATATACAGGTTGTTAAATAGTTGGTTTGGCTTCATTTTGACAGTTAGTGTAATTTATTGTTATTTTATTCTTAATCTGAAAAAAGCTTACAGAAATAATGCATTGGGGTTGTCTTGAGATGCTTACAGTCTAGGCAGACAACATGGAGATTGAGTAAAAATWTTCATTGAAGTTAGAGAAAATTTTCCCATTCTCTTGGCCCAAAGAAGCCCAGGAAGTTCTCCATTAAAGAAAATATTTTCTTAAATGTGTCSATTTGGCCTTTAAAATGTGCAGATGAACAGTTAAGGCATCCTGGCATGCCCATGTCCATGAACGTTCTCAGGACTGAGGTTTTGGAGTAGAGGTGGCGATACTTATCTTGCTTTTCATTGGAAAAATTTTCTTGTGTCTGTTTTACAGCTAATGGAGCAAGAGAATTTTTCTTTTGTACTATTTAGGTATCCCTGTCACCATGTTGGACGTGGGAAAGATTAAATGATAAAAAGAGTCTGAGAATGTTTATTCCAATTGTTTTTACAATAAGAAACAAAGAATGCTAAATGTGCACATGATTTTTATTCGCTCAGCTTGAATATCTCATGGCCTCTGTTGTATTTCATTCTTTCAGGCCTTTCTCTGAGATCTGCCTGTCGCACAGCCATACGTGTTAGATGACTTTGGGACTCGTTTTACATCCGCGATGAAGGGATTATCTGGCAGCCGTAGTCACCATCACGGGGTTGCCTGTGACCCTGCGTGTGACAGCCTGCCACACCACCAGGACAGGAAGCCATATTTGTTAAACCCGGTGGACCCCCACCCCGCAGACCACCCTTACTACACTCAAAGGAACTCTTTTCAGGCCGAGTGCATGGTGCCCTACAACGATCAGATTGCCAGCAGCACGTTTCCCCGGAGGCATTACAGCTCCCACCACGAACTCAAGGACGAGTGTGCTCTGGTTCCCCACGGAACTGCCAACAAGACCAACCGCATTCCTGCCAACCTTTTGGACCAGTTTGAGCGGCAGYTGCCTCTGAATCGGGATGGCTACCACACCCTGCAGTACAAGCGAACCGCCATGGAGCACCGCAGCGACAGCCCGGGCAGGATCCGCCATCTGGTTCATTCTGTCCAAAAGCTCTTCACCAAATCCCACTCGCTGGAGGGGCCGTCCAAGGGCAGCGTCAATGGGGGGAAAGCAAGCCCGGAGGAGTCACAGACCATGAGGTATGGGAAGCGCAGCAAGAGTAAAGAAAGGCGATCGGAAGGTAAGCCCAGATCCAATGCATCGGGATGGTGGAGTTCAGATGACAACTTGGACAATGATGTTTGCATTTATCATGGTCCCAGTGGGGTCATGACCATGGGAAGATGCCCTGATCGCTCTTCTTCCCAATACTTTATGGAAGCCTATAACACTATTAGTGAACATACTGTGAAGTCCTCCAGAAGCAATAATGATGTCAAATGCTCTACCTGTGCAAACCTGCCTGTGAATTTGGACTCCCAGTTAATGAAGAAAAGCTCTTGGTCCTCTACATTAACCGTGAGCAGAGCCCGTGAAGTTTACCAGAAAGCATCAGTTAACATGGACCAGACAGTGGTGAAGGCAGAGACGTGTCAGCAGGAACGGTCATGTCAGTACCTCCAGGTACAGTGTGGAGAACTGATTGCTGTTAACTGTGCTCTGCCTTGTCTCAGGTGTTTGTGGGGGATGGAGGTTTGTTCTGATGTCTCAACTTTCCCCAGAGGTCAATGATCACCAAACAAGGGGTGCTGCTGTTAAAATTAAAAATACATCGGCTCTTTTTTTTTTTTTTTTTTTTTTGGTCCAGAATTTAGTATTTCAAAGAAACAGTACATGTTAGAACAGGATTATTGTTTTTTTTCATGTGAGAAAAATAAGACCTTTCTGTGTGCTTTTTGAATTTATAAGGCTGTCACAGTAGGGGTATTGGGAATTTGATGTTGTAGTGCTTTCATTTAGCATTACCATGTCAATTAACTGAATGTTACCAGGATACAAATTCTTTGATTTCTGTAATTTCAATTTTGCTTTCATTTGCTGCTCATTTTCTATGAAAGCTTTTGATACCCTTTTGAGAAACTTGGGGGTACCTTAATACTTTCTCCAGCAGGAAAGCAACCTACTTTTCTTTTTGCCATAGAATATAAATTCTCTTAAAATGGTTATTGTAACGTGTCCAGATTTGTTTATCGGGCTATTCCTCTTTTCCATGGCTCTGAGTCAAAAATAAAAAATCCAAAGGTTGAAATTATTGCTTGTTCTGATTATACATTTTAGGAGTACATCACCTACTCCCTCACAAGCTGTTTGCAGTTAATACAGCGTCACTATTTTTCACCAGTATTGTATCTTTAAATGTCAAGAATCAGATGTCTCCTCTTGGAGCTATCATACTGCCGGTGAATGTTTGTGGCAGGAACATGGATCAGAAAATATTAAAACTGTTTCATTCTTAGGAGAGCTGTGGATAGCTTTTATGCACTTTAAACAGAGCACTTATGGCACATCTGAGTGTGTGTGTAAGATGGGACAACGTTGCACAGAGAAGAGAGAAGACCATGAGGAAAAAAGAGGTTTGCTAAGATGATTCGGTTTCATTTTGATGTAGTGGGACTCTTGTCTATTTGTGTAGAACTGTAGCAAGTTCTCTTTAATGGGTGCTTTAATGAGACWGTCAGATTCCACGTTTTGTTGTTTAAGTCAGTATACAGAGAAAGCGTGGGACTGAGGCACCCGCATTTTAAAAATTGATTTAAAAGGTTTTATGGAGTGTCATGCAAAATAATTTTGAATTCCAGCCTCTGGGATTCTGAGTCTTAAATGTAAAGSAATGGATATGTATATTTTCTATTAATTGTTAGGAGAGGGGGGTGGAGGAAGAGGGGGCAGTACAAATRCTCAGTGTGTTTACAGCTTTGTGTATGGACTGGGGACGGAGAGGGGTTTCAAAATAGCCTCAGGTTGTGACCCTTTTARGTTTTGTGGGTTTTTTTTATTAAGTGTCTTTTGTGTGATTTTTGTGAGTRAGAAAAAATCRTAACTTCAGACTTGAATTGTTGTGGTTGCTTTGAACCCTGAGATTTCTTTTGTTGATATTTTTGTTTACTCCTTCAGCCTTCTCTTGGGTTTAGATAAAATAGCTGACAATTCAKTATGTGACCAGATGGCTAGAAAAGAGTGTAAAACTGTGCCAGCATCAGCTTTAAATGAACACCTCCAGAGGGACCTTTAGATAATGTTTAACTGACAGGAATAGACTCCTGAAGTGGAATTAGAGGACATAATCTGTGTCTGTATGAAAATATGTCCAACAATTGTCAAGGGCAAGAATAACTAAATTCTCACTTAGAATAACTACATTCTCACTGTGTTTCCCATCCTCACTGGTAGTTTTATTTCTGTTKTCATTTAATTTTGTTTCATTATTTCTAATTGCATGCCATTTTAAAATCAAGGGAAATATAATTGGTTTGAAACTGTTTTTTTTAAAAATGAAAATTTTAGCCAGGCATCAGTTAACATTGGAGGCAATATTCAGAGTACAGTAGATTTGAGGAAGCAGGTCAGGATTATTCTTCTCTCCTGGCAGCTTGAAAGGATGACAAATGCATATAGCTATTAAAAAAGTCAGTCTATTTTGAATGCATCCCATTGCTTTTCTCTTCACTCTATTACTTATCTTTTTACTCTACAAGCCCCTTAGGGCTTGGACTTTGTTCCTTTTTGTGTTTTTRCAAAGCCCAGCACAATGGGGCACAGAACCTAATTGAGGCGTTTTGTCTGTCCTGCAATATAAATATATATTAACAGCAGCAGAGTTCTACTCTTCTAGTGGGTTGWAGAGTTACTCTGTGTATCTGGTTTTTTCCAGGTGCCCTTCTCTTTGTAAAAAAAGGCTGGTGTCCTGTGTTAGAACAATAGGAAAAGCACAAAATGAGATGAAAGCTGCAAATTCATGACAACACTGGACAAATCTAATAATTAAATTTCATTGTTATGATGCCTCTTYGTTGCTTTCTTTAACTCACTAAATGTTAAGTAGGTGCTTTTATCAACTCGCTTGTTATTTAAATTGCTGTCTGTGGTCCAGGACATAAACTGATCYTTCAAAGAGCTTGAACAAGGTTACTTGTTCATGTAACCTCTTCTTGTGATAGTATCTTAATTCAGTGAAGGAGTGGCATTTTTTCAACTCAGACTACTCAGTATAATTTTTTTTATCCTGATAGATCTGACTATATCAGAGATCACAGGTAACATTGACTCCACATTTGTTTGTAAGAGCTTTCATCACAAAAAGTATCTGCATGAATTCTCAGTGTAAAGACATGGAAATAACAATTATTTCACTTGSTGTGATATTTTCCATCTAACTGTTCTGTGAAGGAGTTGGCAATAGTTGGTGTTACAGATGGGCTTATTTCTCATAATTTGGAATTTGGATCAAGTGCAGAGTCCTCCTGCACTGCACTGTGTTCCTTTACCCCATCAGGCTCCACTTCCAGCCCTGGTGCTGAGACTCAGTGTCTGTCCTTGGAGGTCTAGGGGAGGCTTGGTTCAGCACTGTGCATCTTCAGAAACAGACACTACCCTAGAATAGTCTAAATACTGCCAGGCAAATCTTGTCCTCTTACCTGCATTTTGGAAATGAAATTGCATTTTTATCTTCTATTGCTTTTTTCAAGAGTTAGCAGCTGGGTAGTAGAACGATAAGGTCCATTTTTGGAGCTGATTTTTTCTTTAGGAAAGTGCTRCTCTTTGAGCCAGCCTTACAGTTGGAGTGCAATGAAGGAAGGTGAGAAGGAACTCTTCATGTTTTATGAAAATGCTTCTTCTAAATGGTTTCCCTYCCTTGAAATAAAAATTTTAAGGCAGTGGACAGCCTCTACTTCTCTGGTAGCTTCTCCTCTGGGAAAAAAATGAAATTAAGCAAAACCAGTAAAGACAAAATGTAAGCATCAGTCCATTTCTGCAAACAGTAGGGTCTAAATACAGGGGGGGATGTTTTTGAGACTCTTGTTTTCTATGAATTCATGGGTTTTGAAGCTAATAGTGTATCAAACACACTGAATAGTTTCTCTCTGATTATACTTTTTCCATTTAATGCTCCCTATTACTATTCCTGTTGTGCTTGGTCCATTTGTTAGGAGAGTGAAAAAAATACAAAGAATAGCATTTTTCGTATTTCTTTTCTTCTTATGTGGGTCATTCGTAAGTTTTCTTTTCATTGCAACTGATGAGACTCAAATCAGTTGTGTCAGACACTTGAGGCTAAGGATGGAACTTTTACTTCTGAAAATAAGTGCCAAAGGTGGGGGCAACTGTGCAGTCATTCAAGTTTCACATTTGCTTTGCTTGCCCTTCGTGGGATACTGTGAGAAATACTGTAAAAAAATATAAGCCAAGTTTCTGGGTGCAAAGAGAATTTTCCAGTGACAAAAGGTTCTGGTTAATGCTGTGCTGAGTTTCCTGTGTCAAGGTTGCCTGTAATGTGCATTGTTTTACAATATGTAGCGCTAAGAAACTCATAATTTAAATTACTTGTTTTCCAGTCTCAGGACAAGGAAATTGTTTCTTAGGAAATACTGCTCAATCCCAGTCCCAACCAGTCTATTTCTGTTGCCTGTGCCCATGGATGGCCAAATAGACCTTAGGGCCAGGGTGCTAATAAGGACCTGTAAGTGTAATGTGATTTGTTAACACAGCACATTACGAAGTGTTTGTCCTTATGTTACGACACAGCAATTTATGCTTGATCTGTTGTACTGGGTTTATCTTTGCAAGTTTATCTGCATTTTCACTTTTATATTTTCCTCATTTATGGTGTTTGCATTTCAGATGCAACTACCATATTCAAATTAATCTTCCAGTACACCCTTGTTTATAGATATATGAAAGTTTTATTAACATCCGTTAATATAGATCTTCCATTTTTCATGTGTCTGATGACTTGCCTTTTTTTTCTCATATTCCATTATAAATTGAAAATTAATGAAGCACGTGTTATTTCTCTTTCAATTTTCCGGTCAGAACTATAAAATATATGAGGTACAAGTTTCAAGTTTTTTTCCCAAGCCCACGTGAAAGGTAATTCTTAGTAAAGCTAGTGAAACAATTTGGAAACACATGATTGTCAATGTTTCAATGCATTCTAGGTCAACTTCCAGATAATGCAATCATCATGAGAACAATTGGAAATTCTTAAATGTTCTTGAATTTTAAAATGAACTAGTATCTAAGACTATTAATACTGAAAAAAAATATTCTTAGAAAGTTAATTTATTTTGGTTTTATAATTGTGAGGTGGGTAATATGAATAATGACTAAAGCTAGGGAATTTGTGGAAAATATAAATGAAGCACAAAACAGCTGATTTACAAAATGTATATTACTAACAGACAATTCCATTAAATCTGCATCTTGGTTATTTAGCCTACCTGCAAATACATCCAAAATGTGATTGCTATACTGAGACAAATACGTAGAAGAATGTTTCAATATCTTCATCTTCCTCATCTTTGCAGTCTTTCAATCTAGCTAAAAGACAAAACAAACAAAAAATTCCCAAAATTGGTAGCTGTGTTGATGATAATGATCTTACCACTCATCTTGCCTTAATAAGT